ATACTATATACAGAGTGTTCCATTTGAAAAATCAAAGTTGCTACTGCTTTCTAATAGAAGCGGCAACACCGCATTGTCGAAAATATTTTAGTTGGCTAGAGAATGTCCGAATATGCCCTCCATTAAATTTTTAAAGTGATCCGTTGTCTGGTTCACCAGAAACGTCTAATGTGCCATCCACCGTGAATCAGCCTGTCAACATTAAGTGAAAATGCGAACAACAGTAGTGATATTCCCAGCTTAGAAATATAGAACTTCAGTATTGAAGATGTTTATCATACCCTAAAAAAATTAAAGTCTAAATTTACTGTTGGACTTGATCATATTCCGGCAGTCATCATTAAAGATTGCGTCTCAGCGCTGGTTGAACCACTAACAACTCTAATTGAAATATGCCTGAAAACATCAACTGTACCATCAATATGGAAGATATAGAAAGTATGCCCAATTTTTAAAAAAGGAGATAAAAGTAAGATAAAAAATTACAGACCAATCTCTATCAAATGCAATTGTTGTAAAGTGTTTGAGATGCTTCTTGATAAGACAATCTATTGTCATGTCAGCAACATTATTAGCCCCAATCAACACGGTTTCATGAAAGGACGTTCAACCACAACGAATCTTGTTACAATCACTCAATGTATTGCAGAGGGTATTGATTGTCAGTCTCAGACTGATGTCATCTACACTGATTTTCCTAAAGCGTTCGACAGACTCGACCATAGTATCCTGTTCAATAAGCTTTCGACTTTTGGGTTATCCAGTGAATTAATTACCCTCTTCAAATCGTATTTTTACAACCCTAAGCAGTACGTCCAAGTCTATCGAATATATAGCCACATCTGGTGTGCCACAAGGATCAAATCTAGGACCCCTACTGTTCAATATGTTCATTAATGATATCGGAGCTGAGATTGATGTTAATTTTCTTTTATACGCAGATGACTTGAAACTCTATCACAATATAACATGTTCTAATGATTGCGAACTCTCGCCTTGAATTTAAATCGCGTTGCTACATGGTGTCGGAAGAATAATCTATCTCTCAACATATCCAAATGTAATGTAATATCTTACTCACTAAGAACGAACTTGAATTTACACAACTACGTCATAAACAATCAAGTTCTGGAGCGTCCTGACCACTCACTGATCTAGGTATTACTTTTGACTCAGCCCTCTCTTTCAATAAACATATTGACACTACTCTAACAGCAGCTTATCGCATATTTTTTGCAGAAACCAATTTTGTTTGTATTCTAACTTTGGTGAGTTTCTTCTGTAATTTCATCCACTCTTTTTAACACGCTTTTATTAGCTCCACTTCTGTATGTATGTATATTTGTTTGTTTGTATCTCACAAGCTCGGAATCTGTATTTGACAGAATTATCGACATTATTGCTTGATCTATTCGTGGGCAGATGGCGCTGTACGTAACTTTTTTGATATATCGACATTATTACTAGATCTATTCGCGTGCATATGGTGCTGTACATAACCTCCTTGATATAATTCGAACTCACTTTACATGTATTTCTTCATTTGAAAAAAGTATATTTTTTATTAACACGCGCGCCTGCTGCCTTATTTGTAACCCTCTTTTCCGCGCCTGCTGCCTTGGGCTTGGTAGCTGATTTTCAGACTCCCTCTCCGGAATCGGAAAATATTAATGGTCATTTTTCTACCTAATTTACGACTGATTAATGCCAATATAGTTTGAAAAACACACTTTTATACCATACAAAACAGAAAAATGAATAATAAATATAGTTTAAAAAATAAAAAACACGCTTTTAAAGAACATCAAACTAAAAAGATTAAAAAAAAATGTAAATAAGCTCAAAACAATAACGAACTAAAAGTACTAGTATTATTGTGAAAAAAACGTGGGCGCTTTTTGCCATATTTTTTGTATATCAAGCGCCCGTCGCTTACAATAATACTAGTATTACCTCACTTAAGAATTTCTTTCGGCATATTTCATCTGCCAACTTGTAAGTTACGTTGTGTACTATTCCTATTATCTACAATTTGATTTCCACTGATGAAACAGCTGTCTGCGGCTGATTCTAGTTAGGTTATAAGTTCAAGGTGCAGTGGATTTTATTTTGCACGTATGGTTGTTCGCATTGAAATGTTGTGTGCAGTGTAGATACGAAAACTGGTGACGTGAGTGAATAACGTGTGTATTGATGTAATTTTTTATGCACATTTTTCATGATATCATTATGACCCATAGTCACTATTTATAGGTACTGTTCGAGACATAAATATGATTCAGGTTATGATGTGTGTATACAGGGTGTAACTGAATAAGTGTAAAACATTTGAGGAGGTGATTCCTCATCGAAAAAAAGATTAGATCTTTCATATAAGGAACTTTCATTGGAGCATCTCTTGTTAAGATACAGCCCCTTGAAGTGGGTACATGAAATTTGTATAACAATTTTTTTCACAATCACTGAAAAAGTTACAATATTGAAATTGACCTGACGTTTTATACTACCAAAAAGACACTCAGCCAGTAATTTATTTGGATTACCCCATGGTTGTAAGGGGTGGAAAACGCAACCCCTAAAATTTATTTCCAATGTAACTTTTTGTCTTATTATTTGTTTACTATTCAAAAATTTATTTCCGATAGTCTGTTTCATTCTAAATAAAAACAGTCTCCTGGGTTTTTTGCCCAAAATGAACCAGTCCGCAGCAAAAAACTATTTTACGAACAACTACAGAGATACATCGTCATAAATGCGAACTGGATTTATTGTTATTTTGTAGTTACTACCTGCATTGAACAATTAAAGAGTAATAAATAAAACTAATATATTGATAACTAAACACACAACATGTTGAAATCATAGAAAATTTTCAATATGTATACTTTCAGACATTACGCATGCGTCTAGACGTTGGCGCATTGAGCCACTCTCCACGCATCGATGATGCGGTTTCTTAAGTCTTCTGCATCGCGAACAGGAGTACGATAAACCAAATGCTGTAAATCGCGCCAAATAGAGAAATCGAGAGGATTGAGATCCGAGATCGAGCGGGCCAGTTCTGTGGTCCTACTCGACGTATCCACTGATTTGCATATGTTTCAGTTAAATGCTAACGTTCTACTTGACTAAAATGGGCGGGAGCCCCATCATGCATAAGAAACATATCCCTTCTGACGCCCAAAGGAACTTCCTCCAGCAGTACTGGATGCACTTCTCTTAAAAATTGAACGTATGCCTCACCATTTAATCGAGGAGGTTGAAAATGAGGCCCAATTATATCATCCCCAATAACTCCGAGCCACACGTTAAGAGAACACTGTTCTTGATGGTTAGTTTCGACAATAGCGTGAGGCTTTTCATCAGCCCATAAGTGGTAATTATTAAAATTAATAATCTTGTCCCGAGAAAAACTACAGTCGTCTGTGAATTCTATCGTCTTCAGAAAGTCACAATTCCTTTCAATCATTTCCAGCATCCAATTGCAAAATTCAAGACGGTTCGGAAAGTCTCGCGGTAACAGTGCCTGCACTCGTTGCAGATGGTAAGGGTATAAGAGTTGTTCGTCTAAAATTCGAAATACCGTCATATGATCAACATTTAGCTGGAAAGCAATCTTTCTAGTACTGGTAGTAGGTTGTTCTTCAATCAAATTAAGTACTGCTTCCTCAAGCTATGGTGTTCGTATTTCTCGATGGCGACCACAATCTTGCGTTCTTCTGTCGAATGAACCATATTTTCGTAATCGTTGATGAAGTCGAGCAAATATTCTATGTGAAGGATGCTGCTGTTGAGGATACATTTCAGCATCTTCTAGAAGCTTCTAACCCATTCCCCTGCGACACACCGTAAACGTAATGCATATCAGCCATTTCCTCATTTGTATATGCCATTTTAATAACAAGTGAATTATTAAAGTAACAAATTAAGAACAGAACAACGACACACAATTAGTATTGATTCAATTTTGAAAATTCACAAACTGACAGCGTCATACCAATTCAATTGTCACTATCGCTAATAGCGACCTACTGGATAGATTAGTTTCGTATTTTCGCATTTATGACGATGTATCTCTGTAGTTATTTCTAAAACAATTTTTTGCTGCGAACTCTTAAACAAATAATGAGACAAAAAGTTACCTTGGAAATGAATTATAGGGGTTGCGTTTTCCACCCCTTACAACCATGGAGTAAACCAAATAAATTACTGGCTGAGTGTCTTTTAGGTAGTACAAAACGTTAGGTTAATTTCAATATTGTAACTTTTTCAGTGCTTGTGAAAAAAATTGTTATACAAATTTTATGTACCCCCTTCAAGGGGCTATATCTTAAAAAGGGATGCTACAATGAAATTTCTTTATATAAAAGATCCTATCTTTTTTTCGATGAGGAATCACCTCCTCAAATGATCTACACTTATTTAGTTACACCCTGTATATTTACAAAAGGAAATGGTATATACATTATTATTTATCATTAATATATAGTCACCAGTAACGGTCAATTCAATGGTCCAATGATTTTTTTTATTTCATTCATATACAACTGTTCAATAAGTTTCAGGATGTTTCCAGAAGAGAGATGAATTAAATGAAACAATTAACATGGTTTCATATTCTTGAGAGAAAGTTGGTTATAAAATTGAAATAAATGAATATCAAACAATAACATTTGAATTGAATAACTAGTCTCCATTTTCAACACCCCAATTGGAATTCATTCAACTTTGTGGAAATACCTCGAAACACCATTACTTCATACTGCGACGCTCTCAGTTCTTTCCCTTTAAAAGGATAGTAAAACCAAACGTCGGAGTTACTGTAGGCTCCTATATTACTGATGATTGGGCGACCATCCTTCATGATCCTTCCGATGTTCAAAGTGCCCTCAGAACCAGTTGTTTCCCAGTTCTTTCTGTCATATCCTCCTAGTATCGGAATTTCTCCTTCCACATCATCTTTGAAAGTGGCAGCAGTTGTTGGTAACCAAATGTAATTTGACGGATCTGGAGAGCAGAGAATCTGAAAATGAATAGTCTCTTTCATTCCACAAATTTGAAATCATTACTTCGTCACTGTCTAATTGTATATAGAAGTATTTGAGAAGGTTCTGAGGAAGAAAGATATATTTTTCATACCAAAATGTGGATATAAACAAGTGTATATAAGCCAGTCTTGTGTAGGTGTGTTCCTGGTTTGGCACAAGCGTTTGATACTCTCAGTGAATTGTTAGATGAACTTGGTTACGAAGTCTGAAAAATCAGTGACTTGGATAAATTCCTCTTTTGCTGAGCAAACGTTTCATTTCTCTACATTATTGGTTTTCTCAAGGCCATCAAAATAAGCGTTTGTTTAGGTGATACCCTCTTTATTCGACCCAAGTCGATTACCTTCCAGCCATTTCTTTAGTTTGGGGAACAAGAAATAGTCGTAGAAGTCTATTTCTTAAGAGTATGCTGGAGTAGAAGTTCAAAATTCAATTCATAGATTTTAGCCATCGTGCCAGACGTGCACTTTCATTGCCAAATGCTTATGAATTGACTGACCAGCTATTCGATGAAAGTTAATGACACTAACCATAACAATAATTGAACAATTTTCAGAAACGTTTTTATTTCTAGATTAATTTTGCTAGCACCGTAGCTCCCTGCTGTGGAAGGTACGGTGTTAGCGGAACGGGTGATAGCGAATCTGTCTAAACACTCGCCAGCGATCATTTTGCATTTTTCAAGGTTATCGATGTGAATGATATCACCCGCATTCAAAAAAACTGTGGTCATGACCTTGTTGGCTGATGAAGCCACTTATTTTTTCCCAAGCACAAAACACAAGCACTACAAAAAATCTTTGAGGCGCTGTAAGAGCGGTACCTATGCGGGAGTAGCGATTTACGTTGAAGTCAAATCGCTGGAGAGTAAATTCATTAGGAAAAACGTTCTCAGGAAGTTTATTCCACATAAACGCAGTTTTCCAAATGGAAGGGTTCTCAAACAGTGAAGTTTGAGGTATACTGAGTTGAACTTCAAAACGATGAGCAGTCCAGTGCATCGCATATTTCTGATATGTGCCGCTCTTGGTGGAATCAAATGTGCCAAGTCACTTGAACATCTCTCTCTTATTAACCATCAAAAGTTGATGTGGTGTGTATAGTCTTCTAGTTCGAAACAGTGTTCCAAGCTATTGAGGAGCAGCCTCTGCAATTCCAGGGACGTGATTGTGCCAAGACATATTGCGGTGCATTTCAACAAACTTATCTAAGCAGAAAGCGGAATTGTCTGTCAAGACATTATTATATCTGGTTCGGAGACTTTTATCTTCTTGGAGAAAATCGATACGTGGGTTTTCGTCGCATTGAATTGAATCTGATTACTTTCATCCAAATACGAAATCACTTCTAGATCCACTTCGAAATATGCAACCTTTTGCTGCCGGTGAAGATATGCATTCGCAGCCGATGTCCTGGAATCTAAATGAAGTGACGAGATAAGTGTGGTGCCGTCAGAAAAAAACACATTGGATCCTTGGTTTTTTACGAAAAGCCGTAGATAAACAATGAAAACAGGTTCGGAGACAATATGGATCTCTGGGGAACACCAGTGTTGATAGTAAAAGTATTCGAGAGACATGCATCGAGAGCAGAGGAACAAATACAATTAATACACGCTGACGTATGTGGGCCAATGGAAATACGTTTCCTCGAAGGGGGACGATATTTATTGTTATTGAAAGATGATTACTACTTATATCAAAACTTTATGAAAAGAAAATCTGAAGTAGAAACAAATTCAGAAAAATATTGCAAATCCATTTGAAAATGAATTTAAACTACGATAATGGCGTATTCGAAATCAATTCTCTACAGTATGGTCTGATAGTATTCATATAATGAAACTTGTTTTTATTATTATTATTACATATGAATGAAGGCTGAGGACAGAGTCCTATGTAAGCCTAAAATCGAAGGATATCAACAAGGTTATACAATGCATGCAAAAGGAAAGAAAAATAATTAATTTATGAATAGAGGCGATTAAGCAAATATTGAAAAAATATTGTCTCTGCCTCGTTGCGAATTTTTCCTTTTTTAATTTGAGTGGGTGACCACGTAGCCGCGAATCAAGGTTGAAAACAAAAAGTTCTTTCTGATCAGCATAGTTATACTTAGCTATACGGAAAGATATGATGAGGTCTCCACGGAATCGTCGTTGGTCAAAAGCTAGCAGTTGTGCCATCCTCAGTCTTTCAGGATAGGTTGGACGCACTTCACCAAAAGTCATACGTGTGGCTCGACGCAGTATATTTTCCAACAAGTCCCTATCGCGCACCAGAACAGGACACCACACTGGACCTGCATACTTCATAATTGGACGAACGTAGGTTTTGTAGAGTTTTATGGAACTTGAATATGATAGATGGAGAAACGTTTTGCGGATAAGGTAAATCAGTGTGTTTGCGCGTTTGCATGTGGATATTATATGTACGGAGCAAGTTAAGTTAGTATTAATAGTCACTCCCAAGTCTACATGTGAGGACACTGTACGTAACGATTGACCGCTTATTGTGTACTATGGAGTAGATTGTTCTTTCCTTGATGAAGTACGAAGCATTTGTCGACGTTAAGAGGTAGAAGCCAATTCTCGCACCACTGACTAATCGAGTTGAGGTCTTCTTGAAGGGAATGATGTTTGACTAAGGCACTTGCGTAAACAACGAAGAGGAGCAGGCCAAGAACAGACAAGTCACAAGTGGAACTCCACTTGTGACTTGTCTGTGCGAAGAAAAAGAGTGACCCACTTTGACCGTGAAAGTTCTATCTGTCATGTAATTTTCAATCCATAGGTTTAGTTGGCCTCGAATACCGTGTGTGTCAGGTTTGTGCATTAGCCTTCTCACTGGAACCCTGTCGAAAGCCTTGGCAAAGTCGAGATGAATGATATCTGTCGGTATTTTCCTATCGTAAGCCGTCGTCCAATCGTTCATGCACTGTAGTAGATTGCTGGTGGTTGATCTACCTTTGACGAAACCATGTTGTTCTGGTGGTATGATTGCGTTTTTTGTTGAAAATTCTGACATATCTTCTACGATGATGGATTCCATTACTTTGGAAGGTACGGATGAAAGACTAATGGGCCTGTAGTTAATTGTATTCAGTTTATCACCTTTTTTGAAAATATCGGAGACAGATGCCTTCTTCCAAGCCCGTGGGATGCGAGATTTTGTGGTAGAGATTGACATGATTATTGACAATGGAGAGCCGAGAGTTCCAGCAAACTTTTTGATATAAAAGGGGCACATTCCATCCAAACCAGGAGATGAATTGGATTTAATGTTCAATTAATGATTTTTAATTTTTTCCGAAGTAAACGTCACATTAGTCAGATTATCACGTAGTCGTTCTGCTATAATTTTTGGTAATTGGTCATCTCGAGGCTCAACCATGAAAGAGCTTGTGAAAGAATCGAACAAAATCTGTGCTGATACGATGTCTGTAGAACACAAGGAACCGTCAGGTTTTCGTAGGGGCGGAATGCTCACTTTGGTGTTCAGGTTGGGTCGTATGAACTTGTACAGTTTTTTATTGTTTTCAGAGTTCTTCGAACTCACGACGTGAATATCGTATTGTTGATACCAAGTGTTTTGAGAAATTTCTATGAGCTTGGTAATCATGGACTGCACAGATTTAGCGTTTTCGACAACAGTAAGCTTTTCATTCAATGTCTCGATTCTCAACTTTAAATCTTCAAGCTCTCTACGCATATCGTTTTTAAATGACCGTATCAGACCTTTGATATCTAGGGAAGATTCAAGATTTGCACTGCATGAGTTCACTTGTAAATAAGAGTTTGAGTTAGTAGTAATTTCACGAATTTTCAGAAAGCAAACCAAAGTACGTGTACACTCTAGGGTGTCTACTAACTATTCACCACTACTGTTCATCTTTTTCATAAGTAAATATTATGATTACGTGAAGGTGAAGAATTACTTGATTTTTGCCAATATCAGACCAATATCAAGACAATAATCCTGATTAATACTCTCGACCTAGTGGTTCGAATGTCTTCTAATTTACTTCGAGATTTTTCACCACATTGATGACTATAATGTAAATGTAACGTTACGAGTCTTCTTTCGGAAAGGTCGCCGACCCAATCGGGGGTCATAGTAATGTAATTAAAACTAGAAAAGTTAGTTGTGGAGGAGATTATGTTTCAACAAGATGATCCTCCTCCACATTACTGAAAAATGATTGCAAAAGAGTGGTCTCCTTGATCACCCGAATTGAATCCTTCAGATTATTCCAGAGCCCAATCTGAAGTCTTGGAAGTCAATTACTCCAAAATGTAGATAGCGTTTAAAGAAACCTGTTTTATGGGATATAGGTAGAAAAATATTGACAGCATTTACTTTGTCAATGATTCATTAACTTCAGCTTCATATTTTTTATGATTTCGAAGCTACATAGACATCAATAGAGAGTGTATGGAAAGTTCTTCAGAACGGAGTACCATCCAATTGTCATTCTGATAAAAAAAAAATGGAAGACAACACTTCTGCTAGAAAACTGAAGATTTCGAATTGGTTTTCGTGTCAAAACCTCACAAATAAACTTGGCCAGTTCTAGGTTTTCTGAGAAATTATTTCCTTTGTCTGTTTTCGATAACTCGGTGCCCATTTACAATCTACTTTCTATTATGTTTCAAATTCATCTTCGAAACTGTTGAGAACATACCTCCATGTCAAATTCATTTCTAAATTGTTGAATCCTGAATTGGAATTTGAGTGACTTCGACATTCGAAAAATAACTTACCTTGATAATAACTTTTGTGTTCACCACTCCATAGCATGGAATGTGAATTTCCATAGAACCTGGAGTGATTGTTCCCAAAAGTAAACCATAGTGATGAACATAAGCTTGTCCAATGTATAACGGACAATTGGTATTATTGTTATATCCAGCTTTTATTGCATCATGGGGTATCCTACCATCATAATCTCTCCAGTAGTGATCTGAAAGTGATTTTTCGATTTTGTTGTTTGTCATTCTAGTACTGTATATAATATCGCCAAATTTCGATCAATAGGCCAATAACCATACCATCTATATTTTCAAAAATTGTTGAATACTCATTTTTAACCGCCTTTCATGTTTTTTTGATGCTAACGGAACAATCTCGAAAAATCAGCACGAGTTCAGACCGGGAAAGTCAACAGCGTCTGCAGTATACCTCTTCTATTGCGAAATAACGCGCCTTATCGACGCTAGCGAGTGCCCTATTGGGATATTTTTTGATCTCAGCAGGGCATTCGATGGCTATACCATTATGTGGTGTAAAGTGTGAAAGATAATGCACTGACATGGATTACAAGCTTTTTACAAAATCGCAAACAGTATGTATGTTTGAGAAATGAACAATGCAATGAGCTGACAGTTACAAATTTCACATTAGCTGATATTAACCTAGGTATTCCACAGGGTTCTATTTTAGGTATTGTGTTATTTCAGCTATATACCGATAATGTTGAAAAACTATGTGAAAATGTTCATGTTATAATGTATGCACTTGTGTCAGATCATTTTGATGAAATGTTTGGAGCACGTTTAAATGAGCTAATCCAATCTTTGGCATCGTGGATATATATCAGCTCAATATTTTTCAACAAGGATAAGACACAATATCTTCGGTTTCACAACCATCAAAAAATGTGTACAAAACTCGATCTCATTGTGAATGATATAGCAGTTTCCAAATGTGCCACCCATGTCAAGTTTTTAGGAATGTGCATTGATTGGGGTGAGTACATTGTTAGAGTATGGTGATTATTTCTGGGGATGGTCAACCACGTCTCAGGAAGTTTCCGTTGTACAAAAAAAAATATCAGGTGCATCATGAATCTGCTTAGTAACGAGAGCTGTGAAAGTTTTTTCAACAAATATGAAATCTTACCGCTTTGATCGTTATATATTTTTGAATCGTGTCTTTATATTCTCAAAAATAGAGATAGGTTTGTGAAGAATTCTGATGTACATTAAGTGAATACTCGCTCTCAAAATCACTTCCATTTTTCAATTTTCAAAAATAGAATATATTTCTGCTCTCGTACTAATAATGGCTAACTTTCATTCAATAAGTTACCAAATGAACTGAAAAACTGTTATGGACTTTCAAAAAGCAATTCAAAAATATTTCTTGTTATAAGATGTTTTCATTCAATGGATGCATAATTTTCAAAAGATATCTCAAAAGATTATCATTGTTATCAATATTTCTGTTGTATCTCACACATTTCTAATAATGTTCTAATATGTTTAGAATTTTTAACGGCGAGTCTTTGTATTTCAAAGCTCTAAATGTGAACTTGTTGAATGTATATTGTATGTTTTTTTCTGGACTTGACTATTCCAATTCAACATTATGTCTTTCGGGAAACTAATTATTATTATTATTACAAAATGCCTATAGTCATCAATTTACGAAATGAATTGTCATTTGAATTTAAAAATTTTATATCAAATGAAAACTTGCCTATCTTGTAGGTCAGAACTGTGAAATTTCGAAAAATACATCAATTTTAATTTCGAGCTTCGATGAATTTCATACAGGCGGTATTCTCACGAGCAAGTGAACTCAAAAATACATTCAATTTTTATTTCGTGTTCACGAATATTATCGACGCCGAAAAATATATCATTTTTGATATAAATACATAATTTAACTCAAAATACTTCAAAATGACGGCCCTAATGACGGCCAAATGATATTGTTTGATGAAAATGTAGTTCGGTCAACGAAGAAAATGAAATATGTGATTATGCGTGGAAGCTTTTTAAGAGAATTCAAGTTACACTCCATTATGATATTTCCACAAATCAGTTTACAAAACCATAACACTTGTTTCTCTACAAAATAGCTTTCTTGAGCGTATCCAAACGTTTATGAAACACGTGTTTCGATTTTGTAAACTGTCTCACAATGAAGTGTTACATAAATAAGTTATGGATTTGTGTTGGAATCGGCCAATACTTGATGAAAATCCATAACATATTCAGGAAACACTTCAATGATAAGAAATTTTCACTATATGGTTTTACTAGTTAGTTAGTATAGACACGCCTGAAGACGGCGTCTCTATACAAAACACGTGTTGCGTTTTTGAAAAACTGGTTTATTAAAAATCTGTTCTTTGCTTATTGATCGTGTTTTTGAAATACATAATGTCCGTACTATAAAGACAGGTCTGAAGAAGCTATATTGTATAGCGAAACACATGTTGCGTTTTTGAAAAACTATGTAGTGAAAGTTTTACAATCGGGTGTATCTTGAATACATGATCTCAGTATAGCTACGCCTGAGGAGGCTGTTGTAAAGTGAAACACGTGTGGCTTTTTTGTAGAACTATGTAGTGAAAATCTCACAATGGAGTGTATCTTGAATACATGATGTCTATATTATCTATACTGTACAGCCACGCATGAGGAAACTATTGTATAACGAAACACGTGTTGCCTTTTTTTAAAACTATGTCGTGAAAATATTACAATGGAGTGTATCTTGAATACATGATATCTATACAGGGTGTAACTGAATGAGTGTAAAACATTTAAGGAGGTGATTCCTCATCGAAAAAAAGATAGGATCTTTCATATAAAAAAACTTCATTGGAGCATCCCCTGTTAAGATACAGCTCCTTGAAGGGGGTACATAAAATTTGTATAATAATTTTTTTCACAAGCACTAAAAAAGTAAACATATTGAAATGAACCAAAAAGACACTTAGCCAGTAATTTATTTGGTTAAACAATTTTTTTCATAAGCACTGAAAAAGTTACAATATTGAAATTGCCCTGACGCTTTATACTATCAAAAAGACACCCCATGGTTGTAAGGGGTGGAAAACGCAACTCATAAAAAGTATTTTTAATGTAACTTTTTGTCTTATTTTTTATTTACCATTTAAAAATTTATTTCCGATAGCCTGTTTAATTCTAAACAAAAAATGTTTTTGGGGTTTTTTTCCCAAAATAAACTAGTTCGCAGAAAAAAAAATCTTTTACGAACAACTACAGAGGTACATCGTCATAAATGCGAACTGGATTTATTGTTATTTTGTAGTTAGTACCTGCATTAAACGATTGAAGGGTAATGAACAAAACTAATTCATTAATAACAAAACACACAATTGAAGGGGTTATATTTTTAGGAGTGATTAATTTTTTGGGAAAGAAAGTTTGCTATTAGCGATAGTGAAAATTGAATTGGTATGACGCTGACTGTGAATTTTCGAATTTGAATTAATACTAATTGTGTGTTGTTGTTCTGTTTTTAATTTGTTACTTTAATAATTCACTTGTTAATAAAATGGCATACACAAATGAGGAAATGGCTGATATGCATTACGTTTACGGTCTGTCGCAGGTGAATGGGTTAGAAACTTCTAGAAGATATGCTGAAATGTATCCTCAACAGCAGCATCCTTCACATAGAATATTTGCTTGACATCAACGAATATGGTTCATTCGACAGAAGAACGCAGGATTGTGGTCGCCATCGAGAAGTACGAACACCACAGCTTGAGGAAGCAGTACTTAATTTGATTGAAGAACAACCTACTACCAGTACTAGAAAGATTGCTTTCCAGCTGTATGTTGATCATATGACGGTATTTCGGATTTTAGAGAAACAACTCTTATACCCTTACCATCTGCAACGAGTACAGTACAACGAGAATAGTTTCGTATTTTCGCATTTACGACGATGCATCTCTGTAGTTCGTAAAATAATTTTTTGCTGCGAACTGGTTCATTTTTGGGAAACAAACCCAAAAGACAATTTTTGTTTAGAAGGAAACAGGCTATCCGAAATGAATTTTTAAATGGTAAACAAATAGTAAGGCAAAAAGTTACATTGGAAATAAATTTTAGGGGTTGCGTTTTCCACCCCTTACAACCATGGGTTAAACCAAATAAAATGTTATACAAATTTTATGTACCCCCTTTAAGGGGCTGTATATTAACAAGGGATGCTCCAATGAAATTTCTTTATATAAACGATCCTATATTTTTTTCGATGAGGCATCACCTTCTTGAATGTTTTACACTTATTTAGTTACACCCTGTATTGTCTTTACTGTATAGCCACACCTGAGAAAACTATTGTATATCTAAACACGTGTTGCCTTTCTTTGAATCTGTGTAGTGAAAATCTAACAATCTGTTTAAAAGTTTGTTCTGTTTTTCCGTTAACCAGCTGTCGCACCCCTACGAACGACAACCCTCAGAAGTCGAAACTTGTGCGAGCTAAGGATTAACGAGGTCTTACCTTTTAACGTGTGATTCCCAACACGGAATACAATACAATAGAATGTATCTCGAATAAATGATGTCTTTATTGTCTATACTGTATAGCCACGACTGAGAAAGCTATTGTATATCTAAAAACGTGTTGCCTCTCTTTGAAACTGTGTAGTGAAAATCTCACAATATCTTGAATAAGTGATGTTTTCATTGTTTATACTGTGTAGCCACGCCTGAGAAAGCTGTAATATATCTAAACACGTGTTGCCTTCCTTTGAAACTGTGTAGTGAAAATCTAACAATCTGTTTAAAAATCTGTTCTGTTTTTCCGTTAACCAGCTGTCGCACCCCTACGAACGATAACCCTCAGAAGTCGAAACTTGTGAGAGCTATGGATTAACGAGGTCTTACCTTTTAACGTGTGATTCCTAACACAAATACAATACAATAGAATATATCTCGAATAAATGATTTCTATATTGTCTATACTGTATAGCCACGACTGGGAAAGCTATTGTATATCCAAAAACGTGTTGCCTCTCTTTGAAACTGTGTAGTGAAAATCTCACAATGGAACGTATCTTGAAAAAATAATGTCTATATTGTCTATACTGTATAGCTACGCCTGAGGAAGCTATTGTTTATCTACACGTGTTGCCTTTCACTTTAAGGAAACGACATTCTTTCGATAGAGCCAGTCTCTTTATTTTATTGAAAGCTGAAGAGGAATGCAGAGAACGATTTCTTTTTCAAATTTGAAATTGAGGGTGAAAGATCAAAACAGCGTTGTCTATGATTGGATCATGGATGTAACGCTTTTTAACACGATTTTATTAATTTCACCTTTATGTATGTATGTTTGTTGGTAACACTCAAGCTCTGGATCTGTATTTTACAGAACTGTCTACATTATTGTTTGATCTATTCGCGGGCAGATGGCGCTGTCCGTAACCTCTTTGATATAATTAGAAATCACTTTATTTCTTCATTTGAAACAAGTATTTTTTTATTATTACGCGCCTGCTGCCTTAATTGTAACCCTCCGGAATCAGAAAATATCAACGGTCATTTTTCTAAACAATATGTGGCTGATTGATCTCAAAATTTAGATAAAATAAATATATTTTAAGAAGACTGAAAATCACGCTTTTATAGAATACAAAACTAAAAAATGAAAAATAAATATAGTTTAAAAAACTAAAAAACACGCTTTCAAAGAGCATCGAACTAAAAAGTTATTTTTTTTAACTAAGCTTATAACAATAACGAACGAAAAATACTAGTATTATTGTGAAAAAAGCGACAGGCGCCTGATATACAAAAAATATGGCACAAAGCGCCCATGCTTTTTTTACAATAATGCTACTATTTTTCGTTCGTTGTTGTTTTAAGCTTATTTAAAAAAATATTATCAACTTTTTAGTTCGATGTTCTTTAAAAGCGTGTTTTTTAGTTTTTTAAACTATATTTATTTTATCTATGTAGCTCATAGTCATTGTTTTGGAACGTTATTTCCATTGAATCTGATGTATGGATCAAGATGATAATTTATTTGATCGATCACCATAGGAAGCATTCCCTTGGGATTTTGTTGTACAGGTTTGTTATCAATTAGCAATGGTTTGTATTGAAATTAATTCAATTTTTTGGTAATTATTTCATTGAAAGAACATTAAGTATATAAAATTCGTAGAATGACTTCCTATTATGAATGAATTAAATGGAATGATAATTCGTATATCGAGTCAATGGAACGTAACCACAAAAATGCACCATTCTTACCAGTATGAATTTTTATGAAATATCGATCAGTTTTATTCAATTTGTAGTTATTTGATTTATGTTTACAAATCGTGGAGGCGCAATAAATCCAATTTTACTCATGGTTTACAGTAGTTAACATACACAAACTATCATATGGATATTCAGAATGAGTATAAAAAAATATGAACTTACCAGTACAAGAATGAACACAGATTAAGTTCACAATCGTTAATAGATTTATTTTGAACATAACAACTGCTTCAATTTCAGTATTATGTGTTCGAGTATATCGCGAAAGCAATGTGTCAGTAAATGTTTGTTGTAACTTATCGATTTTATTGTTGAATAGGGTGAATCATTACAAAATGCAAACACCAACAAAACAATAAAAAGTAAATGCAGTGAAACTGAAAGTAAATATTTGATCGGTTATCACCTGATAAAACTCTGATATGGTGTTTTGAAATTTTATTTTTGACCTGTCAATTTTGTAAAAAAAAATAAAATATAAGATAATTGGTGGATAGTTGAATAAACATTAATGCGCTGATTTTTTTTTAAGATTTTTTAAAATACTCAGTCAAATTGTTGTTGTGTATTTATAATTGAAATTTTTCTAATGGAGTACTTCGAACTGTGAGTTCCATGGATGTTTTTATGGATAAATAATGACAAATGATATTTCGAATAGTTCATGTTGAGTCATCGTAACTATTCCATATTTTTGTATATGTGATGATTTTTATATAGACAAACCTTACGCATTGATTTTGGTCTATTTTAATTTCATTTTGAGAGATGAATTTCATTTGTTATATGATATTATATAAAATTATTTAACATCTTCGAAAGAACCACTACAAATAAAAAATTGAAAACAATAGCCGAAAATATCAGTTATATCAAGCAAAAAAATCCCGAAATGAAATGACAGTGGAATAAAATATATGTAGAAAAATAGAACAAAAAAATTTCGATTGTTAGTATCCACAAACGTCTTCGGGTGAAGACTGGACTAGTCATCCGGAGAGATGACTATTAATGGGTCATTCCACTACTTTCACTTATCGCCTCTTTCCCCTTCACCGGTTTAGCTGGCGATGACTGTTTGGCGGGAGTTGGCCATTTTTCGCTTGATTATGGATTTCCATATGTTGCGTATCTCTACGCTAGCTTGGCTGAATACATTGTTGGACAACATGTATGCGGCTTCTTTGAATTTCCTCCTGAACCAATGTTCCTCCCTGTGTATGAACCCAACTTGAGGCCACTCAATGTTATGTTGATGGGTCCAAACATGCTCTGCTATTCCTGATTTGATGGTTTCTCCTCGCTGTGTGTGATTCATATGCTCGGCAATGCTTTAATTTTGTTATTTAATTATTCTGTTTTTTACCTGTATTTTATTTCAATGTAATTTCATTTCAAGGTAATTTCATTTCAAGGTTTTTTCTGCTTAATATAATTATTATTTTCAGCTATTATTTTTATTTTTCATTTGTATGGGTTCTTTTGGGAATTTCAAATAATTTTATATAATATTAGACAATGGAAGTATGCACCAATGAAATTCATCATGAAACACTGTCAATCATTTTGAGAGATGCTTCTCAATACGTGACATAGAGACAAAAAGACAAGTGAAGTGAGACAAAAGTTTTTGTGAAAACATTGTTTCGATTACGAAAATGTTTCAAACAGTTTTTCAAAAATATACTTTTAAGTCATGCATCAAAAAGCTGCTGAATATTGGACTATGCTGGAAAAACTTTCAAAAAGCTTTCCCGTGAATGTTCCTTATGAAATTGAGAAATTTCTTCTGGATATGGAAACACGGATTCACTGAATTGTGTAAATGAAAAAAAAAAGATTTTCACTGATTTATTCTGATTTATTCTCTTGAAACATTAACTACGAGACAAAACTTTCGAAAATAATATTGGCTAATGGTTATCCCTTCTCCTTATAAAGAAAATTGAATCACATAACACGGAACTTGAGGGCTCCCTATCCAAATACATCAAAATTTTTATATTCGTTCAAATAATTTGACTTGGAGGTCGTTTTCCTATAAACCAAAACTTCATATTCCGTGTTAGGTGGATCTCTGATTTCTCTTCCATTCAAGGGATAGTAGAACCACAAGGTTACCGTGTTGTAAGCTGCAACATTGCCTAAAATTGATCTTCCTTGCTGACGGGTTCTACCTATATTCAAAATACCCGAACCACAGCATACTCGATCATATCCAGATACAATTGGTGATTTTCCGCAAGTGTCTTTCAGAAAGGTGTTTGCAGTTGTGCGGAGCCAAACATATTTTGAAGGTTCAGCAGCGCATAGAATCTGAAATTCGATAATAATAATTATAATTTTTTGTGCACCCCAAAGTATGCACTGTATGAGAAACTTATTTATTAAAGGTTTTTCGACAAAAAGTTATTCCTGATAAAAGTTTGTGCATCCCTTAGAACTAAACATGCACCAACAAAATACAGTAAAACACACGTAATATACGATAAGCTTTCAAATATTTGATTTTGAGACAGTAAAGACTTCAAAAATACAAATCACGAAATTATAAAACAACAACAAAAATTGATTGGTGGTCCGGGGCGACTTCATTGATTCCAGTGGCGCATTTGCTTTTTCAGCTGTAGAAAAACTCGGAAAAACCTGCAGCACCACCTCATCTGTGTGTGCAACTAGCGTTACGCTAGTTGCAGACACACCGATTTTGGACGGCCGGTATAAAATCGGCCGATATTTTATTGGTAGCGGGTGCTTCCATAAAATATTTGTTAAAGTAATTTTTCCACACCGCTAAGTTACTTTTGTGGACTATATTTCATTTATCTATTCGTTTCATGTATTGTACTTAATTGTATTTGCTTCATAAATAAAATTCAATAAAATATTTGTTAAAGTAATTTTTCCACACCGCTAAGTTCCTTTTGTGGACTATATTCCATTTATCTATTCGTTTCATGTGATTGTTAATAAAAATAAATATTCAACCTTGTTTATCTACGTTTGTTTGAAGGTGATTGACAATGTTTCGTGATGAATTTCACTGGTTTGGACTTCCATTGTCTACTATATAAAATGATTTGAAATCCCTGAAACAAGTAAAAAAGAATAATTAAAAAGAATAGTTGAAAATAACAATTATATTGAGCAACAATAAACCTGAAATGAAATGATAGTGAAATAACCTACAAGTAAAAATATAATAATTGAATAAATAAAAATTTAAAGGAATGCAAAAAGAAAATAATAAAAATAAAAAGTGTAGAGATTCCAAGTCACGTTAGTTCACGACGTTTCGATTGTTGGTATCTACAATCGTCTTCGGGTGATGACTGGGTGATGACACTATCATTTCATTTCAGGTTTATTGTTGCTTAATATAATTGTTATTTTCAACTATTCTTTTTAATTATTCTTTCTTACTTGTTTCAGGGATTTCAAATCATTTTATATAGTAGACAATGGAAGTCCAAACCAGTGAAATTCTTGTTTATCTACTTTCTTTGTCTATTCTAACAAAATAGTGTTCTGTCAAAGTCATAGGGGCCCCATTATACTAATGGCCAGGACCTCCTATAGGTTAAAGACGGCCCTGGCAGGGGCGCAGGTATGTTCTTGATTTCTCAACAGAAATTCAATTATAAGTGCTGAAAAGGGTTACCAAATTAAAAGTTCGTATTCGGACGCCATCTACAGAAGTTTTTAAAAATACTGTCCTCTTTTCAAAACGTGTCACTTGAGACCAACTTGGTTAAGCTGAGATAGAAAACACTTAAAGAATTGAAATAAAACAAGGAATACGGTTTACTTGAGAGTTTCAATAGGGTTTTGCATCCCCAACCTTGAGATGAGTGAATTAACAAAAGTATTAAATCGATTATGAAAATAAGTGATCACTGTATAAAGAAATAATAGTGCTAATGTTCCGAAATTTTCTATTCTTACAAATATAACCAAGTACAGGGTCTCACCCTAGACTTTAATGCACCCAACGCCACAATTTCTGATCGAAATCCCATTTCCAGAAACCATTAAGGAAACTCGAGGCTTTTGTTTTACACTCCTCCAAATTGACTCGTCTGATTCCTGAGATCCGGGACTCCAGCAGTCTTCAGTAGTAGCCACCTCAGACCTATTTTTTATAGTGCAGACAGACACGTCTCAGACGATTTCCGTGTGTCCAATTCATTCAATTTATTTCTGTTTTTATGCTATTAGTTATTTTTTTTTCATTGATTCGGCAGTTACTTGATCTCCACAAACTTTATTTGAAAAATATATCACGACATGTTTTGCTAACACATTAGCTTTATCAACAGTGATTTGAATACTCAAGTTGCTTTTTACACTAATACTACAGGAAACCACAATAATTGAGACTACTTCTCACAAATTACCTAAACCTCTACCTAAGGTACCTCTTCAATTATGATCACCTGAAGCATATTACCTCACTTCTACATCAATAATACTATTTCTCGGTGTTTCTAAGAAAACAAGTTCAATAATGGTGATCTATTTAAATCCAGTCAGTCAATCATTAGAATGTCCAAAAAAGTCTACGCAAAAGCGATTCGAGACGTTTTTTCTATTGATAATTCAGATAATAAAAATTATACTTTAACGGATTTTGGACAATCAGCGAAAGTGAAGAGGCATAAGCCTAAAGCAGGGCCCCACCATTAACATACCTTGTCAACACTAACCCCAAAAATTTGAATAAATACATTAGTGAGCAAGCAGCTTGAGTATTCAAATCCCTATTGATAAAGCTACTGAGTTAGCGAAACATGTCGTGATATATTTCTCAAATAAAGTTCGTGGAGATCAAATCGTGAAGGGTAGTTTATGAAAATATTAGTTTTGCTTACTGTTATTGGTTCTTATGCTTTTTATGATCGTATGCTTTTCATGATTTTGCGATTTTACGATTCGACGATTTTTCATGATGCTTTGATCTTGCCTGGCAGAACTATAATACAAGAAACTGTTGTAAAAAATCCTGATGACTCTACGATCAGTTGAAATTATGATTTTATATAATCCATTTCTAAATTGATTCTTGAGAATGATTTTCAAAAATTTTACTCGAACCACCACTATGTGTTCTCTCTTTGAAGCCAGGGATAGAAAATACCCTTTAAAATTGTCATCCCTCATACAAAGAATCCGTATCGGTTCAAGGTTCAGACAATTCAACCACATGTAACAGACATATACACTATGAAAATGAATTGTTTGGTGTTAGGTTAGGTGTTAGGTTAGGTGTTAGGTTAGGTGTCAACATTCTGGTTATGATTTATTTGGGGTATTACTGTAGACTGCTCAGAAG